TGTGGAAATCCCAACCTCGTCCCCTGCATGTCTGATATACTCTGGGGAAAGCCTGGAAAATTACCAGAAAGGCTGAAGTCCAGCATGAGTGCTGAGAAGGGACTTCCTAGCAAAGACTTGGTAGCTTGGTGCTAAGGTTTGAGGAAGAGAAGAAACCTGTGAGGGGCTGGGCATGAATCCCAACCTTCAGAGGCTGCTTTTTCAAAAGCAGAACCCAAGCCCACCCAAGACTCAGCCCCCCTCTGCTCTACTGCTGTGTGACCTTCAGGAGTCACCTAACCTCTCTGAGCTTCTCTAGTATGATATGACCATCCAGACCCATCCAGCAGAGTTCATGTGTGGAGTAAATGAGATCGTGGGGCAAAAGCTGTGAAACGAATTACACCTGTGAGAGGTTGAGGCCTTGTGCCCTGTCCCTACCAGGCACCCCTGCCCTGGGTTAAGTAGGTGCAGGGAGCATGACCTGACTGCCCATACTCCCCAGGCTCAGGTCCAGAGAGAAGGTAGAGGAGGAGCTGGACTGACATATCCCCTCTCCCCTTGCCAGTTGCTGGGAGAGAACAGTGGCAACTCCAGTGAGTACCAGGTCCTGCCTGTTGGCCCCAAAGGTCATGAGTAGCATAGAAAAAGGAGGCAAAATTTGTAAGGCCTCCCAGGCTCTTGACGTCCAGGCCCAAGGCCTGTGCTATGTATGAGTCCAGCCTCACTCCACATGAATCAGGATTGCCTCCTAACTCATCTGGAAACCACCGCCGCCACCAGGCACCACTTGGCACACAGGTTATCTGAAACTCTTCTTTCGTTTTTAATTTTTTTTTAATTTTTATTTATTTATGATAGTCACACACGGAGGGAGAGAGAGAGAGAGAGAGAGAGAGAGAGAGAGAGAGAGAGGCAGAGACATAGGCAGAGGGAGAAGCAGGCTCCATGCACCGGGAGCCAGACGTGGGACTCGATCCCGGGTCTCCAGGATCGCGCCCTGGGCCAAAGGCAGGCGCCAAACCGCTGCGCCACCCAGGGATCCCTGTTTTTAATTCATTTATTCATGAGAGACACAGAGAGAGGCAGAGACACAGGCAGAAGGAGAAACAGGTTTCCTGTGGGGAACCCGATGTGGGACTTGATCCCAGGATCCCAGGATCATGACTTGAGCTGAAGGCAGATGCTCAACCAACTGAGCCACCCAGGCGCCCCAGCAGGTGTAAATAAATCCCTACTACATGCTTTGATGTCACCCTTTTCCATGTAAGTTTCTTTTAAAAACTCTCCCTGACCTCTCCTTGCCTGAGGATTCTTTCCTTTGTGCTGCCTCCGTTGTGCTTGACCACAAGCCCCAGTAAAGCCTGGCCTGGAACTCCCATTTGGCCTCTTACCAATTTCTGTTGTTTAGACAGCCCAAGGGCCCAGTTCAGTACCAATATTATGGAGCTCCAGTTTCACTCTGGATATTCACTTCCCCAGCACCAAGCCAAAGACAGCAGGGCTGGAAAGCAGAGGCAAAGGCTCCTGGCCTGCTCATTCTAAGCCAATTTGGAACACACAGAGAAGAGAAATGATCAGCGCTGACATTGACCAGGATGCATCACAGGCTAGACGAAAGGCTCAGAAAAACCCAGGCCTGGATCGTAGACATGCAGCCTCTGCATCCCAGGGAGATCTGGGCAGCTGCTCTCACAGCAAATGACATTTGTCAAGCCCCAAATGTCAGGCAGCAGCATACTCAAAACAGTGGGGAGGTGAGAGCTGTATTCCCTGGGTGCAAATAGGGATAAGTTGTCCATAGAAAATTTTAGAACAATAAGAACACACCATGGGGCACCTGGGTGGCTCAGTTGGTTGGGCATCTGACTTTGGCTCAGGTCATGATATTAGGATCCTAGGATCGCCAGGTCGTCAGGTCGGGCTCCCTGCTCACCGTGGAGTCTGCTTCTCCCTCTCCAACTGTCCCTCCCCCTGCTCATTCTCTCTCTCTCTCTCTCTCTCTCTCTCTCTTTCTCTCTTTCTCAAATAAAAAAATTAAAAATCTTAAAACAAAACATAACCCCATATGAGCACACCAAGAATCAATCTGCTGTGTATCATTATGAGGTACCAACAATTTTAAAGAATATTAGTGATAAAATACTACTTCCTCCACAAAGCTATTTCCTTGAAGTTCTAGTTGCTGCAGTTACAATTGAGATTAATTATATACGTGAGCCTCAGGGCACTTGCATGGCTCCATGGCTGAGTGGCTGCCTTTGGCTCAGGGCGTGATCCCAGGACCCTTGGATGGAGTCCCACATGGGGCTCTCTGCAGGGAGCCTGCTTCTCCCTCTGCCTGTGTCTCTGCCTCTCTATGTCTCTCATGAATAAATAAATATTTAAAAAACAATTATATACATGAGCCTCAAATAAGCTCATTTTTATTTCTGCTTCTTTAAAAAACTTTGTCTTCTATGTGGAAATTCAATCGGGTAACACCTAGTCCTATAGTCTGCCGACACACAAGACTCAGCTACTGTCCCAATAGTAGGTTTCGAGGGGCTCAGAGTGGTCCAAGCTCATGCTGGGCATGGCTTGTGTGCCGATTTTCAAGGTCATACATTTTCCTATGTTTTAACACAGAAGACAGAAGAGTCGGCTCACCCAGTGCCAGAATAAGCTAAAAGAGAAGTGAATCCCTTTTACCGAGAACTAGATTATTCTAAAGCGGTAGATAAAATAAACGTCAGTGCCCACTATCATTCAACCATTTTCTCTGATTTTTTTCTGATGAAGGAAGACCTGGGAGAGTTTTGCCAAATAAGATAAAAGGTTACAATTAATTTTCTGTTGATGATGGTTTAGAAAAATGTTTCAAAAAAAATGTTTCACATGTAGAGATATTTAAAAGCCACTAGATTGATTTTTTTTTTTAAGACAGGTAGTATTGCAGCTTCCGGAATTTATTCTGAAATATGACTTTTTTAAAAAAAAAAGATTTTATTTATTCATGAGAGACACAGAGAGAGAGAGAGGCAGAGACACAGGCAGAGGGAGAAGCAGGCTCCATGCAGGGAGCCCGACGTGGGACTCGATCCCAGGACTCCAGGCTCACGCACTGAGCCGAAGGCGGCACTAAACCGCTGAGCCACCCAGGCTGCCCTGAAATATGACTTTTATGAATCTCTGACAAACCTCCCCTAATATTTAAGACTTTTCCTAGTTGTATATCTGTGGTTTCATGTGAGTGGAGCCTTTGAAATTAAAATTAATAAAAAGTCCTCTTCAGTCAGCTGTGAGCAAAGATGGATGGACAAATCGAGCTCAACTAAATACCAAGCATGAGTATGCAAAGACCAATCTTGACAAAGTCACAGACAACTTTCCAGGAGAAAAAATTCCCAAACAGAAACTGAAATGTTGCTATTATTTATGACTATGACCAACTTACATTCAAGAGTAAGCTTTCTTTCAAAACTACATTAATGCAATTAAAAACTCATTTTTTAAAAGATTTTGTTTATTTATTCATGAGAGACAGAGAGAGAGAGAATGGCAGAGACACAGGCAGAGGGAGAAGCAGGCTCCACTCAAGGAGCCTGATGCGAGACTCGATCCTGGGACTGTGGAATACATGCCCTGAGCCAAAGGCATATGCTCGATTGCTGAGCCACCCAGGCATCCCTAAAAACTCGATTTTTTAAAGCAATCTCTATACCCAACATGGGGCTCAAACCCACAACCCCAAGATCAAGAGTTACAGACTCCATTGACTGAGCCAGCCAGGTGCCCCAAATTAAAAACTCGTAATCCATTACTTTTTTCTATTTTTTGCCATAACATTTACTTTATTTTTCACTTTTTACTTTTGCACTGGCATGATTTCATATACAAAGTTCAATAAAAGAAAATTTTCACTGTTTCTTTTGTGGATATTATTACTATTCATTTCATGATTATTACTGAAAATAGTGTTGTCAGATAAAGGAGAGGGATATTTAAAATGGGCACTCCAGGCATCAAACATGGCCAGGTAATCCTGATATCAGTCACTGTGGCATAGTTCTGTAGATTGAAGTAACAGTGAAATTTCAGTTGAGCACTTAACATGTGTACGAAGCCCTATTTGGAGCAGGTCCTATGTGGTAAATCCTATATATCTTCATTCTGGAGAACAGAGTGGATTTGAAGCATGAAGTGCGGGATCCCTGGGTGGCGCAGCGGTTTAGCGCCTGCCTTTGGCCCAGGGCGCGATCCTGGAGACCCGGGATCGAGTCCCACATCAGGCTCCTGCCATGGAGCCTGCTTCTCCCTCCTCCTGTGTCTCTGCATCTCTCTATCTCTCTCTCTCTCTCTCTCTCTCTCTCTCTATCATAAATAAATTAAAAAAAAAAAGAAACATGAAGTGCTCAGAACAGCACCTGGCACACATGTGCCACAGCAAGTGCTGGGGGGGAACACCACCCCTGGTGAGTGGAAGGCAACAGGCGGTGCCCTGAATCTCCTGGTAGCAGGTTTTGCCAGGTTGAAAGGAAGCATTTGCCACGCCCCTTTATGATTTCATCACAGGTTAGAAAAAGAAAAAGTGAAAGCCTGGAAATTGCTGGGAGGGCTGGTCATGGGATAAGTCAGCTGAGACCAGAAAAGGTCTGAGAAAAGGTCAGACCCAAGTAGGGCTTAGGGCAGCAGTCTAGTCTCAGACATCTGGCGCCAGGAGCCAGTCCAGGTGTTGCGGTCTAACTCGGGAAAGCAGCCCAGGGCCCTCCGGGGAGCAAGCCCCCCACTTGCTGCCTCCCTGGTCCTGGAGGTCCTGCCTTCCTGGCATTCGTTTCGGGCAGGTGCACACGCAAGAGCGAGTAGTAAGACATCCGGACCAGGTACAGGCTAACCCACACCAGACAGCTGCTGCCCAGAGGCGGCGAGAGGTGTGGCCCCACGTCCTCCAGGATCCTCTCTCGCCAGTAATCGCCCAGCTGCAGGGCGGTGCGTGGCCACTACAACAGCCCCCGCCCCAGCCCACGTCGCCCCACACTTACCGTGGATGCACGCATCTTTCTTGGTGCTCTGGACTCAGTTTCAGGCGGAGTTCGGTTTACCAGCCGCGTAAAGGCCTGAGGCAGGGGGAGCAGGGTTCACTGGGTCATTAGGAGGGAACAGGGTCCCCGGGCCCCCGGGCACGGTGCGTCCTGGCGCGGAGACCGCGCGGCTCTCCTCTGCCCCTCCCCAGGGCCGCCACCTCACTCTCCTCGAGCCTCGCTGGCGTCCTCCCTGCCCTGAACTGGGCTGGGAACGGCTGAGCCCCTCGAAGGGCGAGGGGAGGCTCCGCCGACGCCTGCGGCCGGGGGGTGGGGACGGTCGGTGCGGTCGGGTGCCAGGCGCGCAGCTGCTGCCGGGCTGTCCCCACCTTCTCCGTCCCCACGCAGCCTCCCGGCACCCGGAGGGCGCCCCCAGCACCTCACCCTTCCGTAGGTCCGCGGGAGGGCTGCTCCACCCACCTCTCCAACTCCCAGGCAGCGCGGCCGCCCACGCACAGGTTCAATGGCCGCAGAGGCCGGGGGCGGCGGGCGCTCCCCGGCTCCTCCCCGAGCGCCTGACTAACGAGAGCCGCGCTCGGCTCCCGGCGGAGACCGCGGCAGCCCCCTCCAACCGCTGGGGCCGCGGCCGGGCTGCCCCCGTCACCGCCGCCGCCTGCGGCCGCCCGGAGCCGGGGCCCGGGGCCGCCCGCTAACCAAGGCCGTCTCGTATTCCCACACACTGGACTGTACTCGACTTACTTACTTTCTCCATTCAAGTGAGCTTACAGTTCAAAACTGTATTAAACTTGAAAACTATTTGAAGGTTTTGAGAGGTCTGGCAGAAGAAAGAAAGCCAACTATGGGGTCTTAAGCCATCAGATATCCCCCAAACCTGGCACACAGCACGAATTCCACGAATGAATGACCAGAGACAGGCCATTCCTGGCACTGGGCTCTCTGGCTGGACTGTGACGCTCCCGAAGAGAAGAATCAGCTCCTGCTCATCTCTCTTCCCACTCCCAGCCAGCCCTGAGGCCTGCAGTCAAGATGCTTAGGCCACATCCAGGCCCTGTCACTTGCTGATTATAGGGTCCAGGAGACCCTTTCCTCTCTGAGCCTCGGTCTATTCACCTCTTAAACGGAGTGATAGGGGCAGCTGGGTGGCTCAGCAATTGAGCGTCTGCCTCTGGCTCAGGTCACCAACCCGGAGTCCTGGGATGGAGTTCCGCATCAGGTTCTCCACAGGGAGCCTGCTTCTCCCTTTGCCCATGTCTCTGCCTCTCTCTGTGTCTCTCACAAATAAAATCTTAAAAAACAAAACAAAACAAAACAAAACAAAAAACGGGAATGGTGATGATATTGGACAACATATAACATGTAAAAATACACTCCCCAAAGGGAGAGCAAAAAACGAAATGCTTATCAAGTCCTGGGCCTGATGTGTGGCACGTGGTAAATCTTCATCAGGACATGTTGGCTGACTCTGGGAAATGAACAAGGGGTATTGGAAGGGGAGGTGGGCTGGGGGACCGGGTGACTGGGTGATGGGCATTTGACGGGGTAAGCACTGGGTGTTATATTATATGTTGGCAAATCGAACTCCAATAAAAAAATTTACAAAAAACAAACAAAAGGACATGTGGCTGTCAACATGAGGGAAAACACACACTCATCACATCACATGTCATTCACTGGCTTCCCAACCAGAGAGTCAGAGGCAACACAAATAAATACCATAACTTTATGGGCATCACTACTCACCCAACAGATGTTTTGCATATTAAGCAAGTGACTATCTGTAAAGCAGTCCAAACTCAAGGCAGAGGGATTCGGGTTTGAGAACACCAGACTGACTTCTGCTCATCCCTACTGCTTTCAGAACTGCCCAGATGTCACTTCCCTTATTTCCCCCTGTGCTGTGCCAGGGAAAACAAAACAAGGGGATAAGGGATGAGGATGTCAGCAAAGTGATTTTCACCTTCCACCGTGTGCTCAGAACAGGAGCACAGTAAGACAGACCTCAGGCTGAGAAGCTACCCCACATGATGTAGGTACCTCCACCAGCCAGATTGTGGATAATCCCCTCCCAAGTCCATCACCAAGGCTCAGGTGGGAAGCCATGCCAGGATCAAACCCAGGGCTGACCCCAAAGCCTCCAGTCTCTTCTGCAACCACAGCCATGGAGCCCTGTTCTTGCAGTGAGAAAGGGTAATATTATTTACAAGGTCTCCATTCTCTGCCTTCTAAAGAGGAGGATGGCTCCTCCAGAATCTGATGTTTTGCTGTCTCTGAGAAAGTAGGAGAAAATGGCTCAGGCTTATGCTGAAGACAGGATGCCTTGTGGGGATTCTGAGCAGGTGGGATAGGAGGGGCTGCAAGGCCAGGGCAGGAGGAGGGGGAACAGCGGTGAGAGGGCAGGCAAGCCACATTTAAAGGAGCAGAATCTATTAGGAGCGTTTTGTGAGAACACGAGGGTTTCTGTTGCTTGACATTTTTTTTTTAAGATTTTATTTATTTATTCATAGACAGAGAGAAAGAGACAGAGACACAGGCAGAGGGAGAAGCAGGCTCCATGCAGGGAGTCTGATGTGGGACTCGATCCTGGGACCCCAGGATCACACCCCAGGCTGCAGGCGGCACCAAACCACTGCACCACTGGGGCTGCCCGTTGCTTGACATTAACTCTCAAAACCTGAACACTCTGCTGGGGAAAACTCTATCAGTCCACTGAATACAGGATTTTTTTTTTTTTTTAAGTACGTTCTGTGCCCAATGTGGGGCTTGAACTCAAGACTCTGAGATGAAGAGTCACTGCTGACTGAGTTAGTCAGGTGCCCCTGAATACAGGGTTTTTTTAATATTTACCCAGGCTACTCTGGTGCAGCTTTGTGAATAGGCCAAGTCTGATAGTTTGACCAGAAAAATTAGGTTTTTATGAAAGAAAAGGAAGGTGAAATGTAACATCCTCCTGAATCCCATCTCTGAAACCTCTCAAGTCCTACTAATGACAAATCCCAGTGAGACACTCTGGAGAGCTTCCCCTGCATAAATGCGCAGCATAACGACCATACTTCCCCTTGAAAGAACATTCCTGAAATGTTCCAGGCTTTCTCAATTCCACTCTGTTAAATGGCCCAACAGTCTGGGGAACTGGGAACTGTAGTGGACATTTGTTTTTGTTTGCCCAGCGGTCTTTCACTTGGTGACTGTGGTTTTGGTGGACCCGCCAAATCAGTCCACATCACCCTGACTAAAGACACAGGTGACCTTGGTACAGCTATCAAGGCCCAGCCCCCAGGCGATCACAATGGACCCTGAACATATGACCCATGCCAGGCCAATCAGGAGCCTTCTCTAAGTTGCAGCTATGTATACACACATTTTTAAATAGGCAATGGGTCAAAAAGTAAATGGCTCTTTCCTCTGGAGACATAAAAGTAGTATGATGTAACCCTGCAAGCATCTGTGCCTTACCTCCCCCACAGCATGAAAGAAATCCATCTGGAAAAGCAGAGAATACAGCCAATATATTTGAGATAATAGCCTTGTTGATGTTTGAGTTTCTCCAGTGCCTGTTGACAGTTTTGCTCCTAGACATTCACTTACAATTGCTTTTCCTTCAATTAAACTAACTAGGGTTGAACTCATCTTTGCGAATATATGGTAATCAAAGACAAGAATGTCAATGCACTGACAAACCATAGTTTGCTTGACTTCTCCCCATCCACAGACACCCACTTTCCCCACTTGTCTTTCCTTCTCCCCAGCTTATGCTAATGAAGGCATTAACACTCTGATGGTAGCCCCAAGTTCTCACCTTCATATTCTATCGTTTGCACCTTCCCAAATGATACGGTGATGAACACATGTGCAACAGCTAGCCTGGCACCTAACACAGGATCACCGTCAGGGAAAGATGGAGAGAGGGAGGGATGAAGTGATGGAGGGATGGCTACTGAACGCTCCAAGTATATGTTTCAAACTAGAAACATACCAGAACTCTTAGCACAGGGCCAAATGGGCTCTATCTAGCAATTGGTCAATATCTGGGAACTTTAATGCAACCTCTCCACTGGCTCTAAGGCCACCAGTGAAAGGGAATGCTTTCGATAGAGCTTCACTCACTCCCAAAGAGGAACCATTTAACCAGATGGGGCAACCAAATGGAAGTGTTACAAGTTCAAGGGTCCTCACATGTCCATGTTACTGTAAATAAAACGTGTTCGATTTTAAGCAACATCTTCAAGTCCATGGCCTCCTCCAGCACTATGCTAGTAAGACTGTTCAGTATTGTTTCACGGGACAGAGAAAGGTGATGCACCCAAACCACATTACCACTACCACTTTTGACACAGAGTTATCCCTCCCTTAGATTTCCTATTCACTTTGCCAAGCCCAAACCTATTTCATAGACCTTCCCGTATTAAAGAGCAGAGAAAGAGAAAAAAAAAAACAATACAGACATGGTGCTATGATCTTTATTCAATTAAATGACCTCACAACTAAGAAACAGAAGACATGCTTTTAATAAAATAGTATAATCTCATCCCATTGCACTTTTTAAAAAGTGTATTAAGTTTTAAAGCCGTTCAAAGGCAGGGGTCTAGGAGAAAGAATTTTCAACAAATAATTTTTTAAAGAAAAGAAAAAGAAAACTTGTTAATGCTCAGGATTAATACTGGCCCCCCCTTTAAGGCTTAAGTCCATGGCAGCATTTAGCCATCTAAATTAGAAAGCTTCAGGAATCAATTGCAATGTTTCCTTGGTTATAAGAGCACTACATTTAAATTTTAGTTCTGGCTCATTAAATTCCTTTCAAGGAAGAAAATTGCTTTTGAAATCTTTCTGCTTTTAGACCTGTTTTGAAAAGTTCCTGTTGTGGGGTATCTCTGTCCCTAATTTTCAAAGTTATCTTCTCCATCCTTTTTGTTATTATTTTTATTTATGGCTTAAGGTTTTCTGTGCACAAAAAGATGGGAGGGGTTCAAGTCACAGTGCTGAACTTTGCTTTTTAAAAGAAAAACTTTCAAAGGGTGGGTTTTTAAAATCCTAATTACACTTGTTAGTAAACAGGACACTTGAACATTCTTTTTCCAGAGAAGGCACTATGTTATTGTAATTTAGAAAAACAGCTTTAATGAGCTTAGCTAATCCTCTAGATGAAAGACATTGCCCTTATTACTCTGAACACATGAACTCCCAGTCATACAGTCTCCAGTAGCAGAGCACCTATTCTGAGCCTCAGGTAGAAGCTGTCCATCTGTCCACTTGCCTCCAAACAATAGTGAATTGCAGTTTGCCATCCCACAGGGCAGTCTATCTCACTGGTCCCTGAGCTACCTGCACTACTGCCTATCAAAGTGGTGATTCCAGGGCCACAACCCAGACCCGCTGAGGCAATCCCTGACAGAAGTTACAGGAGTCTGAATGGCTTTAAACAAACCTCCCAAGTAAGTCTGAGGTACTCCAAAGTAGATGAAAGCCACTACCCAAAACTATAAAAGGACAGAAGGAAAACTATTCTATCACAGTAAATGGTCCCTTACAATGGGCTTAATGTCATTTAAAAAAGCAGTTACACAAATCATTTGTACTTTCATGACTGAAGTTTGTCTTCATTATGCCCTATTCCTTGATTAAAATTTTGTCAGATCTGGGATCCCTGGGTGGCGCAGCGGTTTGGCACCTGCCTTTGGCCCAGGGCGCGATCCTGGAGACCCGGGATCGAATCCCACGTCGGGCTCCCGGTGCATGGAGCTTGCTTCTCCCTCTGCCTGTGTCTCTGCCTCTCTCTCTCTCTCTCTCTGTGACTATCATAAATTAAAAAAAAAAAAAAATTTAAAAAAAAAATTTTGTCAGATCTATCTAAAAAAAAAAAAAATTTTTGTCAGATCTAAATGTAAGCCAGAAAGATGTAGCCCACACTGGCTACCTTGGATGGGAGCCATCCTAAATCATCCTAAATTACATTTAAATAGTTCTATGTGGGGTGGGGGAGGAAGTCCTATGAGGACTTCCATATAAATCATTAAAAAAAGAGAAAAAGAAAGGAAAAAATAATTTTTTTTTTGGTCACTTTTGCCTGGGCTTAAGTCAACCTACTTATCTGTAATCTGCCCATAATACATAAACACCCATCCAAACTTACACTATCCAAAACACCACTTTTATAAGTTAGGTAGAATACTGGATATGACCTGCTAAGAACACACTGCCAGTAACAAGGCAGTTTGTTTGCCTAAAGCCTTTCACTTCATGTTACAGAGAAAAGAGAAAGCAGATAAAGCAAAACAATATTCCATAAGCATTCTACCACGTACAAAGTAGGTATTAATACACAAACCTCCATGGAATGGACTTCTTGGTATATTGCTAAAATAGGATATGACTTTGAAGATGCTGATCATCAGTCATGATCATCTGCCCTCATTTTATCCACAAACCAATCTAGAAAAATTACTCATGAAAGAACTGAAATTTTTATTCTATTATTTTTACTATAAAAAGCTAACTGGATTTAAGAAAACATTTTTTTTCCTGAAATGAATACTTTTCATAGAAATTCTGAGAACCTCCTCTTATACGTTAATAGGAATATGCCCCCATATAACCGTTAGAAATGTGCAAACCATAAATGCTTGCATGAGAAGGCTGGTCAGGAGTGGCAGAGCAACATACAACAAGCACACACTTTCAGCGTGAACCCGTTTCTGACCCACGAATTAAAGGCTGAGGGAAGTTAAGAGGTAAAAGATATTCTCTTCAACCTGGTTATAAATCTCCCCAGGACTCTTTAAGGCCAGCAATGAGAATGCATCTTTTATTGAAAAACTTGATATAAAACTACCAATTTACTGTAAAAATAAAGAAAATAGGCCAACGAAAACTCACTAAGGATCTTCACTGAGAAAGCTTTATAAACACTTTCCAGAGGCAGAATAAGTTAACTAATAAAGACAAAAATAATAAGGCTTCCCCAGGACAATTAAACCAAAATATTTCTTTAAGATCAAAACAGAAATGGTGAATTTAAACAGTAATTAAATACTAAGATTTCACTAAGTTATACACTTTCACATGTTGTTTTACTTTAAAAATTCTAATACTTTAGTATTAAAATAAGTTTTAGATCATCTTTTTCTCACCTTTTAAAGGCATCATCACTCTAGACAATTATTCTGAAATCTATAAATGTGCTTCTACAATGTATTAAAAGCCAAGTATCTCAACATCTGCAAAGCCTTTAGCTAATAAGTATAAACATGCAAGAGGATGAGAGGCCACCTGAAAATGCACCAAAATTTCAAAGAGAAGCTTTCAATTTAACAGTCAAACGGAGCATCACTGTTATCCAAGTAAACAGTTTTTAGGAATTTTCCTAAAATGTAATGGCAAATGAATAAAATAGCAAGAATTTCAGGGCAAGATGGTATATAGATATAAAAAAAATATAAAATGCTTGGAATTAATTCAGACTTACAGAAATACTTCTGTTGTGAAATGTTAAAGTAATAAAAAGAAAATTCTTTGATACAGAGACTACATGCTTCTTTTTTCTGCTTTCCACTTAGACTTCATATACATAGAATCAACACTTGGGTTTTGCCTAAGCCTTCCTATCTCCCTTCCACAACAAAAATTACCTTAAGAATTAATATTCTCATACCTGAATGCTTACATAAATACTTACAAGGCAATCTCTTAAAAGTTTAAAAATCTTTAAATTCACCATTATATTATAAATCAAAGGAAAAGGCAACTAACAGATAAAATGTTTTTTCACCCAATCAAGGTAACAAAAAAGATTACTTAGATACTTCTAGATACTATCCATATTTGGGTGGGACTTTGGTCCTCACTAAGCCAAAGCTATTTTAAAGTTTCCAGATTAGTCAAGTGAAGTTAATAAAGGAAGACTCACTAAACAAAACTGACAATTTTAGCTTTATTATTAAAAATATTTGTGCATAGGAGAATGCAAATAAATGTTTTGGATAAAGACCTGATTTACTTACTGCCTAGGCCACATGAAACAGGACAACTAAAGACAATAATGTTTGGTAATAATGTCTTTCCTTTAATCCTTAATAAAGTTTTCTTCTTAACGCAGAACTCTTGAAAACTAGACCTCACAAGTAACAACCATGAGTTATATATAATACATATGTGAATATAAACCTGCAAACAGTGAATCTGACCAAGGCACAAGTTCAAATGACTTATCAGATGTCACATGGTTCATCAAACTCAGGGTTGTTTTGTTTTGTTTTAAAGTATCGAGCTCACTCCTTTCATTATGAGCCACTCTGGCTTTTCAAGGCATGTTGGCCTCTTTTCTAAAAAGAAGCTATAGGAATGAAAGTAAAAATAAGAGTTTGCTCCAACAAAACTGCTAGCCTGTCAGTAAAAGACCATAAATTTCAGTGTATGTTGGATTTAAACAGGATGTGGTTTTTCCACACTATATGGCAAGCAAGATTCTTTAAGACTTTAAATAACAGTGTAATGGTATCATTTTCAGTTTTTTGTTCTGAAGCTTTTGCAACTTTCGTAAACATTTTTAAATGGTAACAGTATAAAAGAAACTGACAGGTTTCACCACAAAACAGCAATCTTTCATGAGGCTATCCTTGTCCTCAAAAGCCTGGATTCAATCTTAAAAGGCACTAAGTGACACATGCAGGATTTAAAACCATATTTGCATTTTTTTTCCTTTAGCTTTCTCCCCCATAAAGTGCACAAAGCAGAGAGTAATAAGAAAACAGACACAGGCTTGGATCTATATCAGCAAGGAAAAGAAATGCTTCCAACAGAAATGTTTAAGAATTTGAAGCCATGGGAAAGGTCTATTAATTTATTACTGCTGAGTTTCAGCTCTTCCTGGGTGATCCCAGACCTGCGTTCCTCTGGACCTGTGGCCGTGGCAGAAACCCAGCAATCAGGAGGGGCTGACTGCGTTCTCATTGAATCCTCTTGTCAAGATGCTACTGAGCTTTTTTATCCACAGGTGGCCTCCCAACAACTGCATCCCTCACAGCGGCCTGAGTGGAATTACCCATATGAGAAGTAGCCTGCAAGAGTCAATTTATTCAACAGGTAAGTTAATAAAATACAACACAGCATCAAGAAAGAAAGACTTCAGAGATAAACGTTCAAAAAAAATAGAATTGCCCTATAACCCAGCAATTGCACTGCTGGGGATTTACCCCAAAGATACAGATGCAGTGAAACACCGGGACACCTGCACCCCAATGTTTCTAGCAGCAATGTCCACAGTAGCCAAACTGTGGAAGGAGCCTCGGTGTCCATCGAAAGATGAATGGATCAAGAAGATGTGGTCTATGTATCAATGGAATATTACTCAGCCATTAGAAACGACAAATACCCACCATTTGCTTCAATGTGGATGGAACTGGAGGGCATTATGCTGAGTGAAATAAGTCAATCGGAGAAGGACAAACATTTTATGATCTCATTCATTTGGGGAATATAAAAATTAGTGAAAGGGAATAAAGGGGAAAGGAGAGAAAATGAGTGAAAATATCAGTGAGGGTGACAACATGAGAGACTCCTAACTCTGGGAAACTAACAAGGGGTGGTGGAAAGGGAGATAGGCAGCGGGTTGGGGTGACTGGGTGATGGGACACTGAGAGGGGCACTTGATGGGATGAGCACTAGGTTATGCTATATGTTGGCAAATTGAACTCATATATATATATATGTGTGTGTGTGTGTATAAATATATATATTTATTTATTTATACACACACACACACACACACACACACACACACAGTCAAAAAAAAAAATCTGTCTACATCATGGGTATGTTACCAGAAAATCAGGAAATGAAAATACAGGTGTCAGGGGAGCCTGTGACAGCAGCTGACTTCCAAGAGAGTCAGCTACGCCTCTGCTCTGTTACGGTGGTGGGGTTGGAAGCCCTCTTGGTTTGTCACGCAATTCTGACTTAACCCATCTGTTCATGGTACTCAGAAAAGGAAATCGGTGTCTCAAGGATCTGTATACCTGGAGATCACGTCAATGTCAAAAGCCATTGGTTTTCTGAATGATTTTAAGTGAAAGAAATGCCATCCATTAGCAGAACTCAAAACAGAAAAATCTCAAAGCTCCTGAATCATACAGGAATCATATCTGAAGAGCATGTGGTTAGAAGTTTCCCATGAGTAACACAGTATATCTAAGTTGGAACCTTTCACATTAGAGGGAAGTTTTTAGGCATGGAAACAAAATATTAGGAATAAATATCAATATCCTAAAGAAGGAGGATACAACGTAATGTCTATCAAAAAACAAAAAATGACCAGGGGAAACTTCTTATGCCTTCTTTCACTGTGAAACTCTTGCAAATGGAAATATTCTACAATAAAAACACAGATATCTGTCCATTATCAACCCGTAGCCTTGTCAGCTGACACCACTTACCTGCTCTAGTACATACGCTGCACCAGAATCAATTGCTCCACCCAGCTCACGATATTGACCAGAATACCTGATGTATCCCCAAGTAAGAAGTGCTATTAACAGCAGTCCAACCATACAATTGAACAGCTGGGCCACAATCTCAAGACCAACAAAGCCAGTGAGGCCTGAGGCTATGTACAAGATCACAATGCCTGTAAAAAGCACTGCTGGGGTTCGGAAGGTGCTGAAGACATTCTTGCTGCCATTGTGCTTGCAGAAGTTCTCATAAAGCTCCCTGATCTCCTCCTCTAGTTCCTGCTGGTAACGAAGGCTAAAATCCTTCCCACCCATCTTCTTGGTTTTCTTAAAATGGTCCAGAGCAAGCTGTTTGAATTCACCGTGCTTCTCCTCTAGAATGTCTGGGGACAAATAAGGTTTCTCTCCCCCACAAACCTAAAAAGAATAAAGACATAACATACTGAAGATCTCTTTGAAAACAAGTGCCCAATAAAACAAGTGAAAACCCTGAAAAAGTCCAAATATTTAAGATATTAGAAATTAACTTTAAAATGATGACCAAGACCAATAAAGTCTGAGTTTACTTCCTCTGAAAAGTGCACTGAAATAAGGAGGGTGACATTAACTGCATTGGAAGAAAGCCTTACTTAGCAACAGAAAGAACCAGAAGACCCCAATTACCAGGGGGGCCTGAACACAGTTTTGTTGTCTCGTCATCTTCAGATTCATTAAACAAGGTCAGTCTGGGCTTCTGCCGTAAGCCACAGGCCCACATTATAGCTACATCAGAATAAAACACACGCGTGGCATACCTCTTCCATGTTGTTGTAATAAATGTCTTTGGCGGAGGCTGCAGCTGCTAAATTGTTAGCTTCAGCGGTGGCCTTATAAAAAGAAAAGAAAGCATAAACTCTGAATCCCTTCTCTTTAACATTCTTCCACAAATAACCAAGTGCCAATTCCCTCTCACCCTACTCCCATTCTTCCTTTTATAGGATCCTTCTGCCATTTTTTAGGTTTCCATATAGCCCAATGTATGAGATAAAATATTCCTTTTTCGCCAAATTTTCTGCCCCCCCCCCCCAAAAAAAGACATTCTGATACATAAGTCTTTATTATAAATTAAATCTCTGGAAGTATCATTCCCTTTGCTTTAATTTTAAGTGTTAAAAAAAAAAGAAAAAAATAATTTTAAGTGTTAAGAAATAGACATGGGTCAAAAAAAGAAAACATTTATCTTTATATGAATTTTAAACTCTAGCTTCCTTTGAGAAAATGCTTTGCTACTAAAGAAATAAATAGGGATCCCTGGGTGGCACAGCGGTTTGGCGCCTGCCTTTGGCCCAGGGCGCGATCCTGGAGACCCGGGATCGAATCCCACGTCGGGCTCCCGGTGCATGGAGCCTGCTTCTCCCTCTGCCTATGTCTCTGCCTCTCTCTCTCTCTCTCTCTCTCTGTGACTATCATAAATAAATAAAAAACTTAAAATTTGGAGGAACTAAGGCAACCTTGGTGGGGAGTGAAAAACAATCACATTGAGATTTCCTTAATAAAAAAAAAAAAATTTAAAGAAATAAATATCTGGCAGTAAATGGCTTTATGTTCTGCACATAAAAGTCAGAAATTGGGCAGCCTGGATGACTCAGCGGTTTAGCGCCGCCTTCAGCCCAGAGCATGATTCTGGAGACCCAGGATCAAGTCCCATGTCAAGTTCCCTGCGTGGAACCTGCTTCTCCCTCTGCCTATGTCTCTGCCCCGCCCCCCGCTCTGTGTATCTCATGAATAAATAAAATCTTTAAAAAAAAAAAAGAAAGTCAGAAATTATGATGTTTTATCAAAATGACATCTTGAAAATAGCAAAATGTTGAAAATAAAAGTCATTGAAAATAAAAAACCTGACCAGTAAGTAGTAAATAAGTATGTCAGGACATGTTCTACTAAAGTAGACAGCAGATAACAGGAAAATAATTTGCTTAAGATAACTGGGCCTGGGGAAGCCCGGGTGGCTCTGCAGTTTAGTGCCATCTTCAGCCCAGGGTGTGATCCTGGAGACCTTGGATCGAGTCCCATGTCAGGCTCCCTGCATGGAGCCTACTTCTCCCTCTGCCTGTGCCTGTCTCTCATGAATAAATAAACAAAAATTTAAATATATAACTGGGCCTGTTCTACCCACAGTATGTTTAGTGGGATATAGTCCCAGTGAGGAGCCCTTCTGCTTTAACTCTGTATTTAACACCCAGAAGGCAGTAACAATGGTGAAAAATGTACTAAAAATTAACACACTTCAGCATTAACAGGCAGGGAGAGCAACAGCATTCTCCTTTTTTTTCTTTTTTAAAGATTTATTAATCTATTTTTTTTTTTTGAGAGAGAGAGTGCGTGTGCATGAGTGGGGGGAGGGGCAGAGGAAGAGGGAGAGGGAGAGGGAGAATTCTCAAGTAGACCACCCCGCTGAGTGCAGAGCCCTACTAGGGGCTCAATCTCGGGACCATGAGATCATGACCTAAGCCAAAATCAAGGGTCAGATGTCTGACTGAGCCACTCAGGTACCCTGCATTCCCTTCTTAAAGGATGCTGCTGCTTGTGCATGGGTCAACAAGTAATCAAACAGTATCATTTAGGATGTCAAAGAATTGCTTACCTGAAGCATGGATTTGGGATGAGGCAGATCTTCTCCTTGATAAATTTTAATATATGCCTTATAATAGAAACATAAAAACACTCATGAAAAATGTGATTCTGTCACATTTAATCATACTTTAAGTTACAGAAAGTGACTATACAACTGCATTTTCCTAAAGACCTAGATCAACACCCAGGAATTAGCAAAAACACAACACACCTTTGAGTGCATGTTAGCGTTTTTAGTTAACTAAATATGTTCTCAAGCAGCACGAGACTACCAAGGCTAGGAGTCCCACCAGATTCCCCATGCACACTGGCCTCACCACTACCTGTGGGCACAGTGACCATCCGCCTTGAGGTAGTCATGTCACATCTAGGTGCCGTCTCCTCCTACTCACAGCAACTTCCTAACCACCTCCTGTCCACACCATCTTCCTTGAGGAACAATCTTCCTTTAGCCACAGTAATTACTCCTCTAAGAAAGTGCAAAGAACATCCATTTGGTTCTTAGACCGATACTGCCACCCAGTGGCCCACTCCTGGAAGGACACTGAAGGCTCTGAAAATGCCTCTCAATATCTCCCCCATGACAATCATCCCTAAGCTTTAAAATAGTAAAATCCAAGTTAGTTTACAACCTAGATCAGTTTTACCAAAAGTCAAATATTCTGACAATTAAAACCCATATTTACCTTAAAATATTCTAGTAGCCCCCGACAGGTGACTTTGGAGCCATTGATCTCCTTCTCCATTAAGTTAGCTGGGTTTAATACAAATGGTATCAGGGTCTGAAGCTGCTCTTTGAATTCACTGGCAATATCTGTTCACAAGACCATGAAGAAGAAAACAGTCAGCTAGACAGACTTGTTCAACCAAGCAGAGTATAAAATGTTTCAACATCTGCCAGTTCAAAGTGAGGGGAGGGAAGGTCCCAACTGTGTCTGGCACCTTCTGCCACCCATGACCTCTGTCTGCACGTATCTTTACTGTCTCCTCCCTTCTGTCCTCGTGATTAAGAGCTGCTTAGTCCAGAATAGAAAGTGGAGAATATCCTTCCCCTGGTTTTCATCCTGGGGGATTTAGTCTACTTGATAGCCTTTCAAGAAATCTCATTTTTAAGGAATTTTACTAATACAGTCATCAAAAAAAAAAACAAATTATCAACCCCTCAAGTCCTCTCTCCCTTGCCATACCTTCACACTCCCACTTGAATTCATTAGCAATTACTACTCATCATCCATTTGCTTTTCTATTGTTCATTTTTTTTAATGTTAAAATAAGTAGAAGCACCTGTATGTAGGTATATTTCTGGAGAAAGGAAAGGATTTTCTAAAACAAGACTCAAGCAATACATAAAATCAAACGTGAATGAATTTAACCACATTAAAACCAAGGCACCATAAAAAAAAAGACAAGACAGAAGATGGGAGAAGATATCTGTAACATACAACTAACAAAGGTTTCTATCTTAAAATACACATAGAGGATCTATACACTGCAGATAAAGACAAACCCAATCTAAAACTTAACAGGCATGAATAGGAACTGCAGAGCAAAGAAAGCATGAATGTAAATAAATATATGAAAAGATAGTTAATCCTATTAGTAACCAAAGAAATGCTATTTAATGCCACAATGACATACTATTTTATATCACTAATTTGGCAAAAACTAGATGTCTGATCACACTGAGCATTGCCTAGGATATGGATCAATGGGAATTTCTCTATACACTGATGAAGAAAACATAAATTGGAAGCATCATTTCAGAAAACAATTTAGCATTATACAGTAAAGGTGAAAATATACAAATTCTGGGATGCCTGGGTGGCTCAGTGATTGAGGTCTGCCTTCAGCCCAGGGCGTGATCATGGAGTCCTGGGATCAAGTCCCTCTATCTATGTCTCTGCCTCTCTCTGTGTGTCTCTCATGAATAAATAAATATAATCTTTTTTAAAAATATACAAATTCTAATATCCAGCAATTCTGCTTTTAAAGCACATACCCTTAAAAAAAATAAATAAAATAAAGCACATACCTTTGGGAGACTCCCATATACCCATATAAACTAGAATATCCACAGCAGCAATGTTCATAATAGTAATGTGAACTGGAAAAGTTCACATTCCATCAAGAATAAATAAACTCTGTTATATTCACGGAAGCCATAATTATACTACAATGAAAATGAGTGAACTAAACTACACACTGTAATACAGATAATCTCAGAAATAAAACACTAAGGGGTACCTGGGTAGCTCAGTCAGTTGAGCATCCGACTCTCGATTTTTGGCTCAGGTCATGAGATCAAGCCCCATGTTGGGCTCCCCACTTATCACAGAGTCTACTTGAGATCCTTTCTTGCCTTCTCCCTCTACCCCTCACCCTGACTGCAGGCTCTCTCTCTAAAATAAATAAATCCTGGGGACGCTGGGTGGCTCAGTGGTTTAGCATTTGCCTTCAGCTCTGGCCATGATCCTGGAGTCCTGGGATAGAGTCCTACATCGGGCTTCCTGAATGGAGCCTGCTTCTCCCTCTGCCTGCTTCTGCCTCTCATGAATAAATAAATAAAATCTTTAAAAAACAAACAAATAAATCCTTAAAAATGTTTTAAATAAAAAAAATCAAACACTCAATGAAAATACAAGTTGGCCACATACTATTTTTTATATGTTCAAAATTTTAAAAACTTATCAACAGACTAAGTGATTCAAACACAAGTAATGATTTTTTTAAAAAATTCAAGGGCAAAGGGCACCTGGGCGGCTCAGTCATTTAAGCGTCCTTCAGCCCGGGGTCCTGGGATAGAGCCCTGTATCAGGCTCCTTGCTCAATAGGGAGTCTGCTTCTCCCTCTCCCTTTGTCCCTCCCCTTACGCGTGCTCTCTCACACACTCACTCTCTCTTAAATAAATAAACAAATAAAATCTTAAAAAAAAAAAAATCCAAAGGCAAAATAAGCAAAATTTAGAATAGTGGTTATTTTTGTGGGAGGCAGGAGGGAGAAGGGATAGGGAAGAACCACATAGGTATAAGAAATAGTACTGGTAATGTTCTAGACAACAGAATGGGCAAACTACAACCCTTAGGCAAATTATGGCCTGCTAACTAAAATTGTAAATACAGTTTTGTTGAACACAACCATGTCTTCATTTACGCATTGTCTTCAGCTGCTTTCTTGCTACAACAGCAAAGCTGAGTAATTAAAATGGTCCACAAAGCCTAAAATATTTACTATCTGGTCCATTACAGAAAAAATTTGCCAATTCTGGTTCTAGATATTAAGTCGAGTAATATGTTCATGATGTTTATATGACATTTTATACTTTTTTCTTTTTTAATAATTTATTTTTTTGGTGTTCAATTTGCCAACATACAGAATAACACCCAGTGCTCATTCCGTCAAGTGCCCCCTTCAGTGCCCGTCACCCACTCCCCCCCACCCCCCCTCCCCTTCCAGCACCCCTAGTTTGTTTCCCAGAGTTAGGAGTCTTTATGTTCTGTCTCCCTTTCTGATATTTCCCACACAATTCTTCTCCCTTCCCTTATATTCCCTTTCACTATTATTTATATTCCCCAAATGAATGAGAACATATAATGTTTGTCCTTCTCCGATTGACTTACTTCACTCAGCATAATACCCTCCAGTTCTATCCACGTTGAAGCAAATGGTGGGTATTTGTCATTTCTAATGGCTGAGTAATATTCCATTGGACATTTTATACTTTTTTCTAAAGATTTTATTTATTCATGAAAGACAGAGAGAGAGAGAGGTAGACACACACAGGCAGAGAGAGAAGCAGGCTCCCTGTGGGAGCCTGATGTGGGACTCAATCCCAGGACCCCAGGATCACGCCCTGAACCAAAGGCAGATGCTTACCACTGAGCCACCCGGGTGCCCTGACATTTTGTACTTTTTAAAAAGACTTTACTTATTTTAAAACAAGAATGAGAGACAGAATGAGCATGAGCCAGGAGGGGGAGCAGAGGGAAAGAAGCAGACTTCCTATTGAGCAGGGAGCCCAATGTAGGGCTTGATCCCAGGACCCCAGGATCATGACCCAAACAAAGGCAGACACTTAATCAACTGAGCCACCCGGGCACCCTGAGGTTTTACACCTTATCTATATAAGTTCTAGGTATTCTTTTATATACACAATACTTTTGCATTCTTTTGGATACCTAATAGTATATTTTAAAATTTAACAGTAGCTCATTATTTTAATTTGCTTTCGTATCTGTTATTGCTAGCTGGACCAAACTTTCTCCCATACTGGTTCATCAGCTAATTTCCTTTACCTTTATCAGGGACTTGTATCTTATAATATAGTCACTCTTCAAAAAAAAAAAATGCTATCCTAATGTGTACTATAATCACTGAAACATTTTCTCCAGTTTGTTTTTAAATAGGCATAAATTATTAAGTATTCAAATCTATATCACTTTTCCCTGACAATCTTATTCTTCATAATTTTAAAGAGTTCTTCCTCAATTCCAGAGATCTAATAAAATTAAAATTTCCCCCATGCTTTAATTTTTATAATTTAAGTCTGTAATCTACTTAGAATTTATTTACGCCTCATAAATTAAAACCCACATGGTATTTCTCTCTAAATAATAACACGTACTTTTCATCTCCACCAATTCCCACCCCATCTTAAATAACTGATTATAAGATCTCATGACACTGAAAAAATTTTTGGGTTTTTTTGATCTGTCCTACCTAAGTAAATGGGTACCAATCTCCTATCCAGATACTCTTAATTCTGTATCTCCTCAGGATGGCGCCAAAGTACGGCCTTTACCAATTTTTAAAAGGGATTAATCCCCATATTACACATTGATTAGTGGCTTAATATATGCTAAAGGTGATATTTCAACCAGTGGGGGAAGTTGGACTATTCAATAAATACTTTAGGGACAAATGGGTAGCCACTCAGAAAATAAGATGGATCTAAACTCAATCATAAATTATAATGTGAAAAATGAAACTACTAAATTTCAAGAAAAAAGTGGGATAAATTCCTTATAACTTAGATTGAAAGACAATAAAATAGTGTACATACTATGCTATTCTGTGTATATTCATATTTGCTTGCACATCCTAAAGAAACTCTGGAAGCCTAAAAAAATAGAAGAGAGACTAACTTCTCACTAAATACTTTCTAATCCTTTTTGGGATTTTAAACATGTGAATGTATTACCTATTCAAAAAAAAAAAAAGCCTGTTTTTATGGTTTCAACTTTTATCATACTGAAAGACTAAGAGCTTCAAAAATATTTCACTCAGGAACTGGCATAATCTAGACACCACAGATTGTTCCAATACTCAGTTTTTTGTTTGTTTGGTTTTGTTTTTTTTTTAAGATTTATTTATTCATGAGAGACACAGAGAGAGAGGCAGAGACACAGGCAGAGGGAGAAGCGATTATATCAAAACTAAGACTGTGTTTGGCAAGTGTTCACCTCTGAATAAATGGTCATTCTTTGAAAAAAAAAAATATATATATACACACACATACATATATCGTAAAATAAAATCACTAAAATAATTCCTGAGTATTCAGGAGAACATTTGTAGAAAATGTAGCTTTTATTAAATTCAGATGTTCTAAAGTAATTACATTAAGGTCTTCCTACAAATTAGCCCTAACTGCTCTCAAGCTACTGTTGTCTTTTCTGTGTTATATGGAATGGGCTTGCAGGATCTCAACCTAAGTCATCATACAAGTATATACTTAAGAAGAGACAACATGTAGGCATTTTCTTTAATTCTGAAAAATACATCAGCTCTATTTACGTCCCCCACAAGAAAGTTTATGTGGTTCTCAATCAAGTACTTGCCAAATACTACAAGTCACCAACTATTTGCTATTTAGCTCCAATATATGCTTCACTCAAAACCCTTTAATACCCTGTTTAAAAGGTTCCCTAAAATTACAAAATAGTCATCTGCAAAGCCTCTAGAAAGTACACAAACCTTTGCAGAGCTAATAAAAATTCTTTATGAACAATCCTAAGGACTATAGTTCCTAAAATTGACACACAAGGCAGAATATAAATATATTTTTAAATAAAGCAAAAGAGGAAATTTTTATTTTTCAAATTAAAAAATTTTTATTATTTTTTAAAGATTTTATTTATTTGAGAGAGACCAAAAGTGAGAAAGATCACAGAGGGAGAGGGAGAACAGACCCACTACTGAGCAGAGAGCCAGATGCAGAGCTCGATCCCAAGACCGCGAGATCATGACCTGAGCTAAAGATAGACGGCTAACTGACTGAACCACCCAGGCAGCCCAATATAATTGTTTTTAAATATATTTTTTTAAAATTTATGATAGTCACACAGAGAGAGAGAGAGGCAGAGACATAGGCAGAGGGAGAAGCAGGCTCCATGCACCAGGAGCCCGACGTGGGATTCGATCCCGGGTCTCCAGGATCGCACCCTGGGCCAAAGGCAGGCACCAAACTGCTGCGCCACCCAGGGATCCCAATATAATTGTTTTTAAAATAAAAGATTTAGGGGCGCCTGTGTGGCTCAGTCAGTTAAGTGTCTGCCTTCAGCTCAGGTCATGATCTCAGGGTCCTGGGATCAAGCCCCAAGTCTGACTCTCTGCTCAGCAGACAGCCTGCTTCTCCTCCCTCTCTCTCTAACCCTACCACCCCCCCATTCATGATCTCACATGCTCTGCTCTCTCTCTCAAATAAATAATTTTTAAAAATAAAAACATAATGATAAATATATTTTTAAATAAATAGGATCACGCAACATATGCTACTATGCAACTTTTTTACATTTAATATGTCAGACATCTATGCAAACACAGATAGATCCATCTATCTATCTAGGAAGGGGTGCCTGGGTGGCTCAGTCAGTTAAGCATCTGACTCTTGATTTCAGCTCAGGTCATAATCTCAGGGTCATGAGTCTGAGCCCTGTGTTTGGCTCCACACAAAGCATGGAGTCTGCCTGGGATTCTCTCTCTCCTTTCTCCCTGCTCTCTTAAAACAAAAAACTTTAAATAACTTTTAAAATAAACTTTTAAAAGTGCAAATGTACCATAATTTAACCAATCTTTCAAAAACACTCATTTAAGTTGTTTCTAATTATTCCCTATTATAATAATGCTACAGTAAAAATATATCATTATCCATATATTTTTACCTACTTATTTGGACAGTTCCTTAAGATACTTTCTTAAAAGTGTTAAAAGTGAAATACTGGATGAAAGGATATAAACATTTTAAATTCTGAAAATTATCTATAAAAACAATGAATTTGTACCAATAAACTTGCACTTTCTCAATTAGTGTGATGCTACATGTATTTTCATGAGTATATACTGACCATTTGTACTTCTTCCTATGGGACTTCATTTTCATGTAAAAGAGTAAGATTTTAACCCCATAAATGTGTTTTAAAGTTCAATGATGAATAAGGGAAGCAAACAGTACATAATTATGAGACTAATAGCTCCTTATACATAATTTGTTCCCTATTATAAATACAATAGTAAAATCAGCACACTGAATATTTACGGATAAGCTGTTTATGGGGATCCCTGGGTGGCTCAGCAGTTTGGTGCCCGCCTTTGGCCCAGGGCATAATCCTGGAAACCTGGATTGAGTCCCATGTCAGGCTCCCTGCATGGCCGGCTTCTCCCTCTCCCTGTGTCTCTGCCTCTCTTTCCCTCTCTCTGTGTATCTGATGAATAAATAAATTTTAAAAATTAAAAAAAAAAAGCTGAAAGCTGTTCATACTTTTTTTTTTTTAATGATTTTATTTATTTATTCATGAAAGACAGAGGGGCAGAGACATAGGCAGAGGAAGAAGCAGGCTCCATCTAGGAAGCCTGATGTGGGACTTGATCCTGGGACTCCGGGATCACACCCTGAGCCAAAGGCAGATGGCTCAACCGCTGAGCCACCCAGGCATCCCAATTTTATTTAATTTTATTTATGAGAGCAGCCTCGGTGGCACAGCGGTTTAGCGCCGCCTGCAGCCCCGGGTGTGATCCTGGAGACCTGGGATCGAGTCCCACGTCGGGCTCTCTGCATGGTGCCTGCTTCTCCCTCTGCCTGTGTCTCTGCCTCTCTCTCTAGCTGTGTCCCTATGAATAAATAAATAAAATCTTTTAATACTTTCTTTTTTTTTTAATTTTTATTTATTTATGATAGTCACAGAGAGAGAGAGAGAGAGAGGCGCAGAGACATAGGCAGAGGGAGAAGCAGGCTCCATGCACCGGGAGCCCGATGTGGGACTCGATCCTGGGTCTCCAGGATCGCGCCCTGGGCCAAAGGCAGGCGCCAAACCGCTGCGCCACCCAGGGATCCCAAATAAAATCTTTTTAAAAAAATAAAATAAACAGTTTCTGATAATGAGCAAAAATTTAAATAATAATAATAATAATTTTATTTATGAGACACTTTATTCATGAGACATGGAGAGAGGGGCAGAGGCGTAGGAAGAGGGAGGAGAAGCAGGCTCTATGCAAGGAACCCGATGTGAGACTCAATCCCAGGACCCCAGGATCACGTCCTGAGCTGAACACAGATGCTCAACCACTGATCCACTCAGGTGTCCCCATAATTTTTAAATACATACAGGACTGAACAGTATCTTCTCAAAATGCATGTCCTCCTGGAATCTCAGGACATGACCTTACTTGGAAATTACAGATATAACTAGTTGAGATCATACTGGATTACGGGGTAATCTAAATCTAAACAATGGTGTACTTAGGAGAGAACACACAGAGACACACAGAAAGAAGGCAGCCATGTAATGAAAGAGACCAGAGTGACACACGCAGCTCCAAGCCAAAGGATGCCAAGGCCTGCCAGCAAACCTCAGAAGCTACAAGAGAAGCAGGGGACAGATTCTCTTCAGAGAAGAGAATCTCCTTCCTCCAGAAGCAATCAATGCTGACACCATGATTTCACAATTCTGGTCTCCTGAATTTTTAAGCAGTAAATTTCTGGTGTCCTAAACTGCCCAGTGTATGGTGGTTTGTAACAGCAGTCCTAGGAAACAGATACAATATGCACACCCAACAGTGATACACAATTTCAGAAGTTGGGGTTAGAAAACAAGTTCTTCCTATTTCCTGGAATGACATAATAAAAGTGAAATTTGGGGATCCCTGGGTGGCGCAGCGGTTTGGCGCCTGCCTTTGGCCCAGGGCGCGATCCTGGAGACCCGGGATCGAATCCCACGTCGGGCTCCCGGTGCATGGAGCCTGCTTCTCCCTCTGCCTGTGTCTCTGCCTCTCTCTCTCTGTGTGTGACTATCATAAAATAAAAATAAAAAAAAATTAAAAAAAAATAAAATAAAATAAAATAAAAGTGAAATTTCTTTAAGATTTATTTATTTATTTATTCATGAGAGACACACAGAGAGAGAGAGGCAAACAAACAAAACAGATGTGAATCTCTGCCCCCGCACTCATTAGCAGAGTGCTTTGAGCAGTTCCTAAACTTTCCTAAGCCAGTTTCTTCATTTGTCAGAGAAAGGAAAGGATGGTACCAGCTTATGGAAGCACTGAGAATATGACGTAGGAAAGTAAACCAGCACAGCATTGGTGCTCCTGTGGTCTGAATGTTTGCATCCCCACTAAATGTGTATGTGGAAACCCTAACCCCTAAAGGCTATGGTATTAGCAGGTAGGACCTCTAAGAGGTGATTAGGCCATGAGGCTAGCGCCCTTGTAAATGGCACTAGCAGGCTTATAAAAGAGACCCAGTTCCCTAGCCCTTCCACCACACGAGGATACCACCAGAAGTCTAATAGCAGAAAAACACCTGACCATGCTGGCACTCTGACCTTGGACTTCTAGCCTCCAGAAGCATAAGAACTAGATTTCTGTTGTTTATAAGCCACCCAGAATATGGCACTGTTACAGAAGCCCCAACATATGGACAGCGGGGAGTATAGCAGAGCCTCCAGAAATGGGAGCTATTTTTATTGCTACTTTGCGGGAACCTGAACAGCTCAGATAAGTTTATAAAGCAAAGTGCTAGTTTAGGGCACCTGGGTGGCTCAGTGGTTGAAGATCTGCGTCCCAGGGTCCTGGGATCAAGTCCCACATCAGGCTCTCTGCAGAAGCCTGCTTCTCCCTCTACCTAGGTCTCTGTGTCTCGAATGAATGAATGAATGAATGAATGAATGAATGAATGAATAAATAAATAAATAAGTAAATAAATAATAATAATAATAAAAACAAAACAAAGTGCTAGTTTCACAAGTGTAAACTGAGGGCTAAGTATTAAATGACTTAAGGTCTTAATGAATAAGGACTGAAAATAAGATAACGGAATCCAAGAGTCCTGATGTTCACACATGACTCAGTAACAGGCTCTGTGCTAATTAACCACAAAGAAAATGAAAACACATAGCCATGCTGTGCATCACCTTACCTTCCTTTGGGAAGTTAACTGTACTTGATAAATATCAGCTGACCAATGTTTAGTGCTCCTTCATTTAGCGCTTTTATCTCTTGTACACCAACAATCACAACATGCCTCTTACAAAGCTCATTTCAGATGGAAAAATTAAGGTAAACTCTAATGGTCTCACAGTAAGGCAGAAGCAGAAACTGAAGTGGACTCTAAATACCATTCTCTCTAAGAGAACATGCTATTCTTCTCAAGCATTAGCTGAATTTATAACTGACAATTTTTGGTCACTATTTAATTCCAAAGATGGAATCACAGGTCTAAAATAACATCATTTGTAACATACCTTTCAATTTCCCATCAAAGTCAGGGCTTGTGGCCACCTGGAGTCCTGGATGTGGTAGGAGAAAGCAGGTGACATTGGAGAAACATGAGTGAATGTGATTTCGGACATTCTGAATTTCTTCATGTTGATGTTCTTTTACCTGCCAAAGATGACCAACAATTTACAAAGGACCATTTGTTTTTCTTCACTAGGAACCACTAGTATAGGACAAAGGAAAGATTTCCCAACTCTGATGAATTATAGCCACCTGTTTTGTCCAATGAGAAAACTCAAAACCCTAGAAGCAATAATTGCATCCATTTGATTAACCGTGGTTTGGCTTCTATAGCTATCAAAGAACAGGACTATAGAGTTTTTTAAAAAAGAGTATAGGGGATCTATAAAAAAAAAAGAGTATAGAGTGGCTCAGCTGTTTACCACCTGCCTTTGGCCCAGGGCATGAGCCTGGAGTCCCTCGTCAGGCTCCCTGCATGGAGCCTGCTTCTCCCTCTGCCTGTGTCTCTGACTCTCTCTTTCTGTCTCTCTCACGAATAAATAAATAAAATCTTAAAAAAAAAAAAAAAGAGTATTGCACAATATTTCAGAAGAACAAGGGAAGGTTTGTGGGCATGAAGGAGATCTTTTTAGTTAGTAGTGATCGACAAAGGACTCCTGTCCTTAATTTTGGAGAACAGGTTAAGCCTGTTTATATCTACCCCAAAACTAGTGAGAATTTTGAAGAACAACAACAGAACTAAAGTTCTGAATACACCAGTCTAAAGACACACATAGAACCTGGTGCAAAATGTGAAACGAAACCACAAGCAAAGTTTGGGCCAGTCAGGAGTCCTTCAAAAGTCCTTTGAAGCCAGAGTCCTTCCTTGCAATTCCTGTGCACTACATACCCAGGCTCTGCGCTCCTACATGAATACTAGCAGTGTGGTAATATGCCTAAATATTTAACACACTTAATATAATTTTCCATGATCTGCTTTAAATACTATGGCTAAAGGCAAATTAGAAAGTTATCACTACTTTCCTTGTAGGTAATTCCTCAGAAGGTTATATTTCTACTAACCTGTAGACGCTTATCCAAAAAGGACATTCCTCCCTGTAGTCCATAGTTGTATTCATAAGGGAAACTCCAGTCTCGAACCAGAAACATTAGAGTCTATTTAGGAAAAGAGAAGAACATATTATAAAGCTGCATAAATGCATTTTCAAAATAACAGCTGAGGGATCCCTGGGTGGCTCAGCGATTTGGCTCCTGCCTTTGGCCCAGGGCGTGATCCTGGAGTCCCAGGATTGAGTTCCACATCAGGCTCCCTGCATGGAGCCTGCTTCTCCCTCTGCCTGTGTCTCTGCCTCTCTCTCTCTCTCTTCCCCCCTGTGTCTCCCATGAATAAATAAATAAAATCCTAAAAAAAAAAAAAAAAAAAAAAAAAAAAAGCTGAAATATTTCTTTAGTGCCAGCTTCTTCAAAGGAGGCAAAAAATTGTGAAGGATTTATTTCTTCTGTAAAGGTTTCTTCTTAGAAACCTTATAAACACTAGAAGCACATGTATAAGTCAAATGTGAGATGAATATATCCTATTGGCTATTTTTGTTCCCATGGGTTGATAAGAGCAGAAGGAAGAGATTGAGGAGATGTTAAATTCAAGGCTCTGCTCTGAAGGCAAGTATAAAAAATGTGGTAAAGGACAAGAAAATAACAGGGTACCAGCTAATCATAAAATCAGGTCTACTTTTAATGTTAGAAAGGAAAACTAAATTAAATAGTAATACTTAAAACTCCTTTAATGTTATTGAGATTACTATGCATTCTCATCCTTGTGAAACAATTAGCTAAAGCAGGGGCCAGAAAACTCTTTTGTAAAGGACCTAAGTAAGTATTTTAGACTGTGGTAACAAGCAGCAGCTATGGACAAATGAATGTAGCTGTGTTCCAATAACATTTTATCTAAATTTAAATGTTAGTGTCCACAGCTAATTCACACATGGCATGAAATAGTATCACTCTTCTGATTTCAACCACTTAAAAATATAAAAACCATTCTCAACTCACAGGTCATATAAAAACAGGCTGCTAGCCTATCTGGCCTGTGGGCTGCAGTCTGCTGACCTCTGAACTAAAAAAAGACATAAGAGTTGCCTGGGTGGCTCAGCTGGTTAAGGATCCAACTCTTGGGAGCGATTTTGTGCCCGTTTCGGAGACTGCGGGGGTGTTGTCACCATGTTCCTGTCCGCGGTCACCTTTGCCAAGAGCAAGTCAAAAACCATTCTGGTGAAAATGCTGAGCCAAGCTGGAACAGGTTACTCCTTCAACACTAAGAGAAGCCGACTACGGGAGAAACTCACTCTCTTACATTATGACCCAATTGTGAAAACAAAAGTCCTCTTTGTGGAACAGAAGAAAATACGCTCCCTCTAAACAATGGATTGAAAATGAATTTGATTTATAAATGAGAAAACTAAGGGCGGGATACTGATTCAGAAATTCTGCAGTGTGTAATAAAAGAAGAGGAAATAGCACGGAATCACTGCCTCCTGTGATTTGAAGGCCATTGTGAAGAAAAATAATGTACTGAAAGTTCTTCATATTAGGACATATATCATTGCATCACATTTATTTATCTTTCTGGATATTTTTATAGCCCTTAATAAAAAATATTAAAATATAAAAAAAAGGGTCCAACTCTTGGTTTGACTCAGGTCATGATCTCAGGGTTGTGAGATCAAGGCTTATGTGGGGCTCCCCACTCAGCAAGGAGTCTGCTTGAGATTCTCTCTCTCCCTTTCTGCCCTTCCCCAACTTGCATGCATCCTCTCTCTAAAATAAATACTCTCAGGATCCCTGGGTGGCTCAGCGGTTTAGCGCCTGCCTTTGGCCCAGGGCATGATCCTGGAGTCCCGGGATCAAGACCCTCATCAGGCTCCCTGCATGGAGCCTGCTTCTCCCTCTGCCTGTGTCTCTCATGAATAAATAAATAAATAAATCTTTAAAAAAATACGCTCCTTAAAAAATAAAAAACAACAACAAAAATAAAACAAAAGACATGAATTACATTCATAGTTAGCATTCTACCTGGAAGGGTTTTTGGAAAATTTCATCCATTGCCAGACGACCATATTCTGTGAAGAGCTTTAAAAAAGAAGAGTTAATGGTTTGTTAGTTAAAATTATTTAAAGTATGTCTACGGCTACTGTTTAGCTAAGAATTCATTCAATAGACTCAATGCTATTTATGAGACCAAAGTTCTATAGTTTCAAAAGCTTGGAGAGCCAAGAGCCTTAAAATAATCTGTTATTCCTCTGCCTCATAACCCAGATCCCAATTCATTAGCAAACCCAGAATCCAACCACTCACAGCTTCCATGTGGCTTGGAAAATTACAACAGCTTCCTAACTGGTCCTCCTGCCTTGGCCTTTGCTGTCCCCCAGACTACTCTCGGTACAGCAGCCACGATGGCTCTGCTATGAGGTCAGTTAGATCACATCATGCCTCTGCTTAAAACCTTCCAACCTCATAGTAGAAAAGCCAATCCCTTGCGGTAAGATCCGGCCAGTGGCCCTCCTGGCTCTTCCTCAAATATGCTGCACACACTGCTGCCTTAGAGCCCTTGTTCTAACTCCTCCTTCTGCCTGTAAGTTTCTCCCCCCAAATAACTGCACAATCCACTCCCTCATTTTTTATGGCCTTTACTCAAATGGCTTCCCAAAGAAGCCTTCCCGACTGCCTACCTCAAAAGATTACAAGTTTCCCCACAATTCTTCTTACCCTGTAACTTTAAAATATTTCTCCTTAACCCATCTCACTATCTAACATGCTATACCTTTACTTATCTTGATAATTCACTACCAGAATTTACTCTCCAGGAGGGCATGAAGGTTTGTACTACTCTATCTCTGGCAGCAAGAGGAGTACTAGACCAAGAGTGCCACGCAAATGACAAAATGAACAAATTCTCTAAGGTCAGTATTTCTATGTACATTCACCTCTATGTCCTCATGAAGCCTCTCACTAAAAATATAGCAAAATGAAGTTTAAAAGTTAAAAGTTATGAACACAGGACAAAGAGGATGAGAAATGATATGGCAACAAAGAGGAGTTGTCAACACTCTGGAAGGAAAACCGACAAGTGAAAAACTATCTCAGGTTTTGGCTTTCTCTGCCTTATCTGTGACAAGCAGGGACCAAAAAAGAAACAAGTGGATTCTCTCAGCAGTCCCCAAAAGGCTCAGAAATTAGAAGCTCTGGTCACCATGAAGGAGAGGGTAAGGGAGTGCGGCTAACAACTAAAGAAATGGTTCCAAGTCTTTGGAGAGAACACCTACACTCCCAGATCCTGCTCCCTCCCTGCACTCCAAATCCTCTATCTGTCCCCACAGAAGATGAAAAGTGTACTATCTGGAGGAAATGAATCAGAAACAATTAAGACCTTTATATAAAACTCAGCCGACAGGAAGAAGGTAAGTCCCCTACCTTACTGGAAATGGGTACTTAGGTCAAAGTCGACATACTGAACAGTGAGACTCCTTAGCCTCTCATCCTATGGGAGCCACAGCAAGCTTCTACCCATCCAGGCAGGAGTTTAAAGAATTCTTCTTTGGGGAAACTGACAGCCCAAGAATAGGCTGCAAATACAGACATTCAGGGGTTGCAACAAAATACCCAAATAGTCTTGTCCAGTCACCTCACTGTGACCCAAACCAGTACACAAGGCCCACCCTCTCTTCAAAGGTTCCAGTCAGATTTTTTTTTAAGATTTTATTTATTTATTCATGAGAGACACACACACACAGAGAGAGGCAGAGACACAGGCAGGAGGAGAAGAAGCAGGCTCCATATGGGGAGATGCAGAACTCGATCCCAGGACTCGGGGATCACGCCCTGAGCCAAAGGCAGACGCTCAACTGCTGAGCCATCCAGGCGTTCCCCCCAGATTTTTAACAGCTCATTCTTAAATACATATGGCCAAGGACACCAGACTTTTGAGAAAAGCTATTAGCAGAAGAGACAAAAACTTATGTCCTTCAATTCTAAAACATCATCTTATATTATTCCTTTTCTAATTTCTTTCCCTCCATTTTCTATACCTTTTACTAAAACACCCCCCTCATTATTAACAGGTGCAACCTCTCCTGAACTGATGCTTAACTTCTCCTTGTTTGCTATGCCCTCCCATTCTCCTGCTCCTCTCTTCCCTTTTTGCTCTTCATTCTCCTGCCCCACCCTGCTCTTTTGTCTCTGCTTCACTCTCTCTTTCTGGTTTGTCTTCTGCTCTGTCCTTTCATTCAGCCCGCCAGGGAGATTTTCTCCAATTTAGTATCCAGCTCTTTCTCTACTGAAGTTCCCAATTTTACTGACATAGTGTTCATTTCCGAGCTTTTGTTTTCTGAATGTTGCTTTTTAACAGTATCCTGTTTTTTCTTGGTTGCAACAGCTGCAACATCTCTTTCTGAGGAGATGCCTTTATAAAGAATGAAGAAAAAGCCCACGTTAAGGTACATTACCATGAAAATTCATGCCAAGAATAAGAAGATCTTAAAAGCTTCAGAGAGAAAAAAGTCACATACAAAGGATCAGGAATCAGATGGTGTGGGACTTCAGCAGCAACACTGGATGCTGGAAAGCAATGAAACAATGCCCTCAATTCTGAAAGAAAGTTATTTCTATCCTGTAATTCTAGAGTAAAATTCAAATATCCTCGGACTTATAAGAACTCAAAAAAGGTATTTCCCACACATCCATTCTATCCTTTCTCAGAAAGCCAGTGGAGAATGTTTAGAATTAAGGAGACTAAATAAAAAAGAGAAAGAGGATAAACAAAAGAGCTTTCTATTCTCCCAGAAATAAACCTATACCTATATGATCATTGACTTTTATGACAAATAAGCCAGCAATATACAATGAGGAAAGGACAGTCTCATCAATAAATGGTACTGGGAAAACAGGACAGCTACATGCAAAGAAAGAAACTGGAACACTTTCTTACACCACGCACAAAAATTAATTCAAATTGGATCAAAGACTTGAACCCAAAACCTGAAACCCTAACAATTTTAGAAGAAAACATAGGTGGGGGATCCCTGGGTGGCGCAGCGGTTTGGCGCCTGCCTTTGGCCCAGGGCGCGATCCTGGAGACCTGGGATCGAATCCCACGTCAAGGCTCCCGGTGCATGGAGCCTGCTTCTCCCTCTGCCTGTGTCTCTGCCTGCCTCTCTCTCTCTCTCTCTCTCTCTCTCTCTCTATGACTATTGTAAATTAAAAAAAAAAAAAGAAAAAGAAAACATAGGTGGTAAGCACCTTGACATCAGGTCTCAATGATTTCTTGGACTTGGCAACAAAAGCAAAGGCAGCAAAAGCCAAACTAAACAAGTGGAACAACATCACATTAAAAAGCTGCACAGCAAAAACAAAAACAAAACAAACACTAACAATGAAAAAGCAACCTATCAGTGAGAGAAAATATTTGAAAATCATTTATCAGATAAGGGGTTAATAGCCACACTATATAAAGAATTCATACAACTCAACAGCCAAAAATAAAAAACAATTAACAACCCATAATCCAATTAAAGAATGGCCAGAGGATCTAAACAGACATTTTCCCAAGAAAGATATACTGATGGCCAATGGGTACATGAAAAGATGCTCGCCATCAATAATCACCAGGAAAATTAAAATAAAAACCATAATGACATGTTACCTCATACCTATCAAAATGAATATTTATCAAAAGGAAAAGAAATAATAAGTGTCAGCAAGAATGTGGCAAAAAGGCAACACTTATCTACTGTTGGCAGGAATTTAACTGGTACAACTATTATGAAAAAACAGTATGGAGGGTCCTCAAAAAATTAAAATGAAAACCACCATGATCCAGCAATTCCACTCCTGGGTAATTACTTGAAGGAAATGAAAACTCAAAAAGACAAAACTCAAAAAGACATACGCACCCCCATGGTCAATGCACCCTATTCACAAATGCCATGATATGGAAGTAACCTAAACGTTCATCAATGGATGAATGGAAACAAAAAATGTGGTGCCTATATTCAGTGGAATATTATATGCCATAAAAAAGAAAGCAATCTTGCCATCTCCAATAATATGGATGGGCCTTGAGGACATCATACTAAGTTTTAACTAAAGTAGAGAAAGGTAAACACCATATGATCTCACTCATATACAGAATCTGAAAAACAAAAACTTTAAACACTTAAAAACAAGCATAGGGATAGAGAGGTGGAGTGGGGATAGGGGAAAAAAATGAAAGAGGTTAAAAGTACAAACTTCCAGGGGCATCTGACTAGCTCAGTAAGAAGAGCATGCAACTCCTGATCTCAGAGTTTTGAGTTCCAGCCCTATGTTGGATATAGACATCACTTAAAAATAAAATCTTTAAAAAGAAAAAAGGACAAACTTCCAGCTATAAAATATATGTCATGGGGATATAACATACAACATGGTGACTATAGTTAATAATACTTCAAAGTATTACTTCTAATACTTAAAAATACTGCAAAGAGATAGTAAATGTTTTCAACACAAAGGAAAAATAGTAAAATTTTTAATAAAAAAAGAAATAAATTGCCAGTGGGACTGCCGTGCACCAGGACTAGAGGAGGCAGTCCAGAGGACAGAAGGAAAACCAAGTGCCCAGGAGTGATGCCTTCCCCAAGGAGAAAGAAAGAACCTGAAGTATGAAGACCACACTGAGAGGTTTTAGGAGTCTATCCCATGAGATACATTAGTGACAAGCACACAGAACAGTAAACTAAAAAAAAAAAAACATGATACAGGTAATTCATTACAAGAAGTGCAACCATAATTCACAAGCAACCTCAGTGAAAGAGAAGTATAAATATCCTCATATAATAAGGCAACTGTGAAAGTTTTTATAGCCAAAAATTGTGCTGTAACTATTGGAAGGACAGGGTAAGGAAGCTGTGGGTGAGAATGGGAGCGCAGTAAAGATGCTAAGCCCTAATTTTACAAAGAAGTCATTGCTATTTCAATTGTAAAAACCCAGAACGACCAAAAGTATGTTCTTGAAAACTTTAGAAGCAAAGAGCAGAAGACACAACTCAAAGTGACTACCTCTGAAGAAAAGAAATAGGAGATCCAAAGAATGTTCTTTTTTTAATTTTTAATTTTTAATTTTTTTATAAACACCGTAACACTACTGACTTTTAATCTGTGTCTATATACATTACTTTGTTAAAACAATAAAATGATGCTTAAGAAAAAAGAAAGTACTTAATACACATAAAATACCATATAGAAACAAAACCGAAACA